GTCGAGGGGTACGAGGCACTCGTAGGAGATCTCGAACTGGAAGGGGTTGAGGAAGGCGGTGGGGTTGTCCAGCACCGCCACGTTGGTGATGTTCACCGCGCTCATCGCCGCCGCCGCCTTCCGCCGACCCGGCCGCGTCTGATATCAATCGATCGAGGAGTGGAGATCTTGCGGGTCCGGGCGGAGGGGGGATGGTGAATCAAGGCGGGGCCTTTTTGGAGGAGGGAGCGCGGCGGGGGCGGGAAATGGGGATTGGGGTTGGCGGGAGACGATTTCGAGAGCGGCGGCACGGGGAAGCAGAGCCCTCCGCTGAAATCCTGGCTACTGAACCAACCGGGCCGAGACGGCGGGCTCCCCTGCCCACCTACGTGCGGCTCGGAAACCCCTATTTGGTGTTCCTTTTTCCCTGTTTCTTTCCCTTTTTTATTTTTTACTTTTATTTCCTTTCCCTCTTCTTAGTTTTCTTTCATTCCTCAACAAATTCTCAGAAACTTAAAGAATATTTGCATTTTAAAAGAAATTGTTCGATTTTTTGGAAAATGTTCTATTTTCAAATTTTAATAAGAAATTCCAAAAAGTATAATTTCAACAAATTGTCCACTTTTTCTCTAAAAAATTCGGAAAATCAAAAACACTTAGAATTCCAAAAAATGCTCGCGTCTTTTCAATATTGTTCACAAATACAAAAAAAATCATGTTTCCAAAAATAAATTGCAAAATCAAAGTACATGGAATTGCACAAAAATGTTTGCTTTTTTGAAAAACTTGTTCATGTTTTCAAAAAAAAATTGCGTTTTCAAAAAACTGTTCATGATTTCGAAAAATGTTCTCATTTTCATTTTTTCGGGTGTAAGTATTTCATGTGTATTTAAAAAAGTATAATATGGGTGAAAAATAGAAATCAAAACATATTTTCAAAAAAATATTAATCATGTATTTGAAAAATGCTAAACATGTATAAAAAATGTTTATGTTAAGTCCAAAAATGTACAAATGTGTATGAAAAAATATAGACACGTATTGAAGAAAAAGTGACATCTAAACATATATTTGAAAAAATATATATTAATTATGTACTCCCCCCGTCCCAAAATAAGTGTCTCAAGGTTGAGACATTTAACAAGGTTGAGACACTTATTTTGAGACGGAGGGAGTATTCAAAAATGTTAAACATGTATAAAACAAATGTGCATGATGTATGCAAAAAATGTAGAACGTGTATGAAGAAAAGTAGACATTAAAACATATATTAAAGAAGATGTTAACCATGCTCAAAAAAAGAAGATATTAACCATGTATAACTAAAAATGTTAAGCGTGTAAAAAATCCATAGCATTAATTGTTGTGCGGTGGAACCTATAATAATGTGTCGTTCTTACTTGAACAAAAACATATTTATGATTATACCCTCTAGGCAAGCATCCACAAATACAAAGGAGTAATTAAGATGACATCTGACCATAGCATTGAACTTTAGGGTTCCAATAGCCCCTTATGCAACAGTTTATAAACTTGGGGATTGGTAATTTCTGTCACTCCAACCACCCATCATAGATAAACTAATCACATATAGCTCTTCTCTAGGCCCTTACGGTGAAGTGATATGTAGTCGATGTTCGCACATCACAACTAAAGAACACCACAACATAATATCAAAACATTGAACTTTGTTTAACTTTACATTATTATACTAGGTCTCCGTAGCCCAAAGTATCCTGGCATACTCGGGTTTTTAAAAAGTAGTAGGGTCCAACTCTAAAGTTACACCAACCAAAGATCCAACATAGGCCACATTCTGCTCATACCATTAATCAGTTAGAACATTCCTGACACGTAGCCAAACTTTGTTAAAGGAACATGATGCACCCACATCATTCATCCAATGGGACAAACGAACCACTACTTTTCTATATTTTCAATTCCATGTGATATCCTAAATATTAGGCACACTATACTTCCCTAAGATTGGGAATCTCAACCGAACTAAATGAAACTGATAGCCCTAGTAATGTACCTCCATCCAGAAACAAACAAACTTTAAACTCATGCTCAATAGCTCTAGAAGTAGCATTCCCCCACTAACAGTGATAACCACACTACTACATCGTCCTTTAACTTTTTTGAAGTACTATAGTCAGAGAAAAAAAAGAATCCTAGGCCAAGAGACCGTATCCCACAAACAACCCAATGCATGATTGTGTGACAAATCTGAGTAATACGACCAAGGTTACTACATTGCTTACCCCTAATAGGGTAATCAACATGTAAGTGTCCATGAACACCACAGTTCATGCAATGGTTGAACTTATCTTGAGAAGGAGCTTGAAGGTTCCTCTGCGACACCGGTTGCTTTGTTGCGGTTCAAGAATATGGACGCCGACATGAGCATCATTAATTCTAGTGCACTACTCTCCTTGAACCTCATAGGCCATCTTGTCGCATTGCTCGTTAATGGGTTCTGGACCAAAATTACCAGAATTTTGGTAAGATCCTTCGGGAGCTTCGTGGTACCAGTCATAATTGTGCCCCCGGGCCTGATCTAATTTACCTCTTCCCATCTGACACCCCCCGTTCTCACGTCAGCCATGCTAGAACCATACCTCACCTTGATCGTCCATTGATCTCGATTGCGTGGTGGAGTCTAGAGGTGGTGGAGTAGGAGACACATATATTTGGTTGCTTCTGCAATGGAACAAGGATCACTTGCAACCTTGCGTGGCCAAAACTCAAAGGTTTTAGTGGTAGGAGGAACGTAAGCCAAAGCTCGTGGCGTTTCCAATTCGGACAGTCTCCGTCATCTTGAATAGGCCACTCTATATGGCATTTCCTATTTAGCGCTGCAGGCGCCAGTTATAGCTGTTTCCGCAAACCGGCGCCTGCAGCCGCGTTAACTGGGTTTGGCCCATCTTTTCCTTCCCTTGCAAAAAAGGCGCGCTTCAATTGGGATTCGATCCTGCGACCTCACGGTCATTCGTCTCATGCATTAACCACCGCACTAACTCGTATTAGTTGCCTATAAACTACTGCTTCTTCACCTTTTCTTCTTACAACGATTCTTTTTTCCTAATTATTTTTCCTTTTTATTCGAAACGGTTTTGTTATGTTTTTTGTTCTTCTTTTCGGAACAGTTTTATATTCCTTTTGCTAATTTGAAAGAACTATTTTTCAAAATCGTTGAACTTTTTTTCAAAATCAGTGAACTTTCTTTCACAATCGATGAACTCTTTTTCAAGATCGATGAACTTTTTTCTAAATCGATGAACTCTTTTTCTAAATTGATGAACTCTTTTTCAAAACCGATGAACTTTTTTTCAAGATCGATGAACTTTTTTCTAAATCAAAGAACTTTTTTTCTAAATTGATGAACTCTTTTTTCAAAACCGATGAACTCTTTTCACAATCCATTATATTTTTTTTCAAAATGGATGAATTGTTTTTCAAAATCGATGAACTTTTTTCAAAATCGATGAACTTTTTTAAAAATGGATGAACTCTTTTTCAAAATCGATGAACTGTTTTTCAAAATTGATGAACTTTTTTTAAATTCGGTGAACTTATTTCAAAATTGATGAACTTATTTTAATTTTTGTGACCTCTTTTACAAATTTGATGATTTAAAAAAAGGATGAAGGTTTCCAAATCTGTGAACTTTTTTGAAATGTCGATTTTTTTCTTTTTTGTGATTTTTTTTGTTTTAAGTTTTCATTTTTTTTCTAAACTCAACGGTTGACCAGTCAGTCAACTGGTCAACCGCGACCGTACGAACAGCCCTCGAGGCTCTCGATCCAGCGAGGGATCAGGCGGGCGAGTTTAGCGAGCGACGGGCGTGGTCACCACATGGGCCGGCCCACGATTCGGCGGCTGTGAGCGCCAGCTGCCTTAGCTGGCGCCTGAAGCGCCAACTAGGAGCTCCCACTCTATATGCCCTAGGTGTGTCTCTTTAACTCTTTTGGCGGATGATTTTTTTTTGTGCGCCAAGATAAATGTAGATCTGTTTTTTTTTTTTTTTGAGAATCATGTAGTTCCAAATTTTGTTACAAAAACATGGCACCTTGCTTGGAACCAATTGTTTTTTTTTTGAGGATACTTGGAACCAATTGTTGATTGTATGGACTAGTAGCATTTTCAAATTTCGAAAACCTCTTTGAGGACTTGAGGTCTACTACATCGGCCTGGAGGCCGGGGCCCGCATGCTGACGGCCTGCGTCGAGATCCCCGCCAAGAAGGGCGTTCGCTTCGCCCCGCCCAACCTGGCTTTCGCAGTCATGCCCGCGCAGCAGTTCCTGGCCCGCCCCAGGTCCTATGCCCAGGCCCTCGACCGCGTCATGGCCGCCGTCTTGTCCATCAAGCTGCTGGAGGAGCACCTCCTCCCGCGCTGCGTCGAGTGCCTCGCCGGCGGCAAGACCCCCGGCTCCTCCTCGCCCGACAGCAGCCCCGACAGGGACGAGTGGACGACGACCCGGACCCGGTCGCCGCCGCCACCGAGGCCCTCGCCAAGGTCGACCTCTCCGACGACCCGGACGCCACCGCCACCGCCACCGCCAAGCCCGGCTCCAGCAAGCCCCGTCAGGCAGCCAGAGGCGGCGGCGGCGGCGACGTGAACAAGTCGCTCGACTACCTGTACCGCGCGTGCAGGATCGTGAGCCTCGCCGTTAAGCACATCGACGTCGCCGTCGCCGTCCTCTCCCGCTTCATGGAGGCATGGAGCCCAAGAGGCTCGCCAGCCTCGCCGAGTTCTTTGACGACCACGTCTACATCTCCGAGGTCTGTCCAAACTTGCTCTTTTTTGTTCTTCTTCCTCCTAGTCCTTGATGAAAATGATGAATGAATCCATGGATGGATCTGACGTACGGTCGAATCCATTTGTTCGCTTGCTGCAGGAGGGATTCTATCTAGCATCGGATTGACTGCTTCACCTCATCGATCAAGCCATGCTCTCCTTATCGGTCTTCTAATTTACCATCCAGATCGACCTGTGGTTTCAGTTCAATCTCTTCGTCAGATTTATCTGCTGCCATGCTCTTCTATTTGTGCTCAATTAATTCCTGGACGGCCGTGGCTATCTATCTTAGCTTCATCAAATCAATTTGGGGTAATCAATGTAG